CAAAACCGGGTAAGGAGCGGGCGCGGGCGCGCGCGGGCGCGGGGGGGGCCTTCGCCGTTCCCGGAAGTTACTTACTCCCGGGTTCGGCGACCAACCGGATCGCAGGGACCGCCGCGAACCGGTTGAAACCCACCCCTGATGCAGATTATATTGACTAAATTGAGTCCAATTAAAAAATGGAACAATTAGTACAATAGTATCAAGATTTATATTTTTATTCATTTTAAAATTCCAATACATACTGTATATTCTGAAAACTTTCATTGTTACTCACCAATGAAGCAGAAATAAACACAAAACCTTTGAAAGAGACAAAGAAAACCAGTTAGCAAATTTGTTGAACCAGTCCATCAACATATACAGTAATGATAAATTAGGCACTTCAGGTAGTCCTCAACATACAACCATAATTGAGCCCAGAATTTATGTTGCTAAGTGAGATATCTGTTAAGTGAGTTTTGTCCCATTTTATGACTTCTCTTGCCAGAGTTGTTAAGTGAATCACTGCAGTTGTTAAATTAGTAACACAGTTGTTAAGTGAATCTGCTTTCCCCCTTGACGTTGCTTGCCAGAAGGTCACAAAAGGGGATCACATAACTCCAAGACACTTGCAACCGTCATAAATATGAACCATGTGCCATTCACTCCGGGAAACTGACGGGAGACCAAGTACCTGCACGCGGGAGGGGATTGTTCTACCGTTGCGCCAGACACCCGACTCCCAGCTGATAGCTTGAACTATTGTTTGGATTCGGAGCCTGAGAATTGAGCTGCTCTCAACATCTGTGCGTGGGCCAAGCCTACATTTCAATTAAGCTGCAGTAGCTGTTGGGGGTGTGCCAAGGGGATGGGACTGAGCAGTGATGGGTTCCAGATCCCGGTGCAACCGATACGGTGAAACGGAGCCCTGAGGCCACCACATGAATGCGTGCATGCATCCTTACCTCCTGCAATGCTCCAGCTGCTCGGCAGAGGCGCACAGGTGCTGTACGCTCCGTCCGTGTGGATGGAAGCACCAAAGAGCTCAAATACAGGTAAGGACGCTGGGCAGGTGGACTCTCCGGAGCACTGTACCGGAACGGTACCCAGTGCTCCCAGCAGGCTCCGGTACACCCGTATAGGGGCGTACCTCCTGCAACCCATCACTGGGGAGGAGCCACTTAAATGGTGGAGGGGAGCACTCAGCAGTAGCTCTAAATTCAATTCACTCTAGTGTACAATCTACACTTTGAACTATGTGTTGGTTTGTTTATTCCTTGTTTGCCAAACCACATGTAAATCAGATGTCCATGGGAATGCTGCAACAATCATTAGTGCGAAAAAATGGTCATAAGTCACTTTTTTCAGTGCCATTGTAACTTTGAATGGTCACTAAATGAACTGTTGTAAGTCAAGGACTACCTGTATGTAGAAATAAAATGAATTATGGAGCCTTGTGGACTTTTTGGAGTTTTATACTTCATTACTTTAGAAAATTACTGATGCTAAATAAGCAATGGCAGTTTTAGCAGTTGTCAATTATTTAAAACAAGGTAAAATTGTACTCTAGGAATTAATTGCTTCAAGAATGCAACAGAATTTCAATTAATTTTATCCACATTCCTACATGTTGGAAACAAGTCCTAACAAGACAAATATTGCTAAGCTCAAAGATTTAAAAATTGACAATGAAGCCTTAAAAATTACTCCCTCATGGCTGCTTGGCCCCTTAACAGTGGTGGGTTACAGGCGGTATGCCCCGGTACGAGCATACCGGAGCCTGCCAGGAGCACCGGATACCTGTCTTTTAAGGCTTCCGCGCTTCCGCGCATGTGGAGCAGCTGGAGCATCGCAGAGGCTCGCAGAGGTGCTAAGACACATGCGCGCACTGCGCCGGGCCCATTCCAAGCGCACCAGTTGGAAAGGGATCTGGAACCCACCACTGCCCCTTTACCACAATCAGCAGATCAACTGATCCCGCAATGGTCAGGAGTTCTGTCTCTCTGGGTGCCTGGAGATGTTTCCGGTGCACTCTTGCTAGCCCCAGCCCTGCCAACGGTGCCAGGCAACCTGGCAGGGCCTCTTCTGCAGCTAACCTCTGGCTCTGGAGCAGGCTGCGACCATGGTTTGCGCTCCGCTAAGTCTGGAGCTTGGGTGTTGTTCAGGCTGCTGCTACAATGAGCCAGAAAGCCATGCGGCCCGTGGGAATCAGATCTTTCCCCCTCTTCCCCACCGCTTCTACCTGGCTGCTGATGCTTGAGAAAAGGATGATCGGCAGGCAACTCTGGAAGATTGTGAGAAGCGTTTGCTTACGATTGAAGCAAAGTGCAGCCTGTGCCTTTCAAGCAATCAAATGTCTGTGTGTATGTGTTTGTCTGAGAGAGAGAGAGAAAGAGACAGAAAGAGAGAAGGGAGGGAGGGAGAGAAATGACGGAGAGGAGTAACAAGAATTGCAGGCAACACTGTTTGAAAGGGTTTCTTCTCCGGGCACTCAAAGAGAACAGAACTCCCGACCCTCGCTGCTTCAGCTGATCTGCGGACTGCAGTTAAGGGGCTGAGCAGCCATGAAATGACAGCGCTCACCACCTCCTGCGCTTGAAAAAAAAGACCTAACCCCCCAAAATAGGCCAAAGTGTTTATTTTCAAGCCTAAAAGAAAATAAGACCTGGTCTTATTTTACGAGTTATGAGTTATGAGTTATGAAAGTTTATTTATATGCCGCCCTTTTCCCTGGGGGGACTCAGGGCGGCTTACAACTCAATGGGAGGGGGAAACAAACATTTAACACGTGAGAACAATACATAATTAAAAAGCACAACATTCATAC